TAAGTTGACAAGTCCCATGTGCCTATAATTTCACCAGCGCGGAACACGGTAACGCTGACATTAATTACTGCTTGGTGGCCGAAATAGGTAGATAGATAGCTAGATAAAAACTTTATTCACTTTCATGACAACTTATTTCATAGGATCCACTAAAACTAACACCATAACTATTATTATTATTACAAATTTGTATAACAAAAGAAACGTAGTTATAACTACACATATTATATAACTGATAAAAGTTTTAGAAGTCATGGCAGTGAAAAGGCGTTGGCTCAGCATAGGTAAATGCTGCGGTTTCCCACCATGCTGGTATTCTGCCAGAACCGTGTTTAAAGAGACGTCACTCATCATCTCAGATAGTCCTCTGGATTTATCATTTAATTGAATAAAGATTATAAGTGTGCGTGCATGGGTATGTGCGTAAGTGCATTTATATCAATATTTTATGTTACAAGATAGTTAGATAACCAGATTTCAAAATGGACGTGTGCGTGTATATATCATATATCATCATTATAATTTTTAATTTGGAATGTTTTTTAAACTCACTGTATCACGTCATGCCATTTTTTCAGTGATATCCTATAATTGGCAACACTTATTGGTCATGTAAATTAGTTTTTAAGTTCTACAATGTATGCTGTTGGATATCCTTTATAAATAAATAAATAAATATTACTTATGAGCTTCCCTGACATTAAATGTGGCCACATAGAGATTTTACAGTTACAGTAAAAGTAGGTAAGGTGGCAACCCTTCCCTGGACGAACTCTTTCACGTGGACCTCTACTTCTACTACGTAAAACTGTTTTTTTATCAGCAATATTTCGTTTAACCCGGGCACCTCTAAATTTCTCGGAATTTATGAGCGAAATATAATTTGAAATTTACCACAAGCTTTTCGGTAAATATCGTGATTAAATCCGCACGTCGAAGAAGGTTCACAAGCATCGAAAGACGTTTGAAGTCTCCAACCCGTATTGCGCCAGCGTGACTGACTGACTATGGCCTAAACCTCGCCTCAGGCGGTTGTACGACCGGCTTAGTATGTCAAATACGCCCCAGTCGTTTTTAAACCTTCTTCCTGATGAATTAAGTATTTTTAACATAGTCCGCTATTATAAAAAGCCTTCGGTATATAATTTTATTAACGCATGCACTCATAGCCCCGCACTACGGAAACAATTTGATCAAAATTATAGCTGAAAAAATTTCCAATAGCAAAACCCCTTGAACTCAATATATTACAGAACTTAAGTTGTTACCACAAAGGTGCGGAACGAGACGCGACAAGGAACACGAAAACTCAAAGGTTGTGAACCATTGAGAATAAGTGGAAGGGTCATTCGTGTCTCATCGACCCTTTAGAACTGAATGATATTGATTTTATGAGAGCCTCTCCACCAGTCAAGGCCAGCGACGGCACTAAACCGGCACAGACCGACGTCACAACGTTATGGTAGATACTGTTATGAACGTTATGTACTGTTGTGTTATCGGAGAAGAAGCGGGAAAACTGTTCAAATGGTTCAGGTGTTTGACTGATAAATAACGGTCTAAAGAATGTGCTAATTTGTTACAAACTGTCCCCTTCCAAACTGGAACGCAGTTTTAATATCTGCGTAATCAAAAACCGTATATAATAAGTTTCGTTATAATTATGAATACAAAGATCAAACAAAGGAAAATTTCGTTAACCATAAGATGATTCAAAAATCTCTCACTAGATGTCACTAGCGGCCACGAATGCCTAAAGTCTATAACAAAAAGATAGGATTTTCGACGACTCGGTCCTGTGGCTCAGATCAGCAATGCGACGGTGTAGCATGGTCGTGGGTTCAAGTACCACCGGGTCGACGAAATTTTTCTATGTTTGATCTACTTCACAATTTAATTATTTTTAGTAGAAAGAAAACTCCCTGTGAAAGAGTTCGTCCAGGGTAGTACTGCCACCTTCCTATTTCTGCCGCCAAGCAGTAATGTCAGCATTACTGCTTGGCGGCAGAAATTGGGTCGTCCCACTGAACGCCGAATAAATACGTACATATAATAAGATTATTCCGCTCACGCGATACATGCAGCCATAGACGCATACCACACCTAGAGGTGCCGGTGATGATTTTATACCGATTTATCGGATATCGAAGTTATAACAGGTAAAAGAATTAATATTAATTGCTATTTCGGTAACTACACTAGCAAACCATAAAGTTTTTAATGCCTGGGTCTGTCATTTAAAAAAAATAAACAACTTCAAAAATACGTCACGACAATCGCGTGTGTTATTGTTTGGGCTGGTGATTTCGGTGTTTATTTATTGAAAACATACCGTAAGTAGCGTTTTTTAAGTTTACCCTGAATATAAATCTTTATAAACTATACTTTAAGGAGTAATTTCATGGTAAACGTAAGAACCACTCAAACGGAATATTATCATATTTATCAAGTACACCAAAAATTTAATTAGTGCTTTTTAAGTGCAGGATTTGCGGTGTATTACTGCATTTTATTTGAGATGTTTTTGTCGGTAGTACGGAGGGTATTTATTTAGCAATGCAGAATAATAATTTTTATTTAACTTGTATTTAAACTGAATGCTTTTTTAATTTGCGAAACCAAGTAGCCGCCATTTTGCGGTAGGAGGATCGCATCGCGTGAGCGGATAAATCAATAACTTTAATCAACAGACAATTTCCGCGTTGTTGATTTAATAAATTAACACGGTAACCGGCAGTGTTGCCGTGGCAGTACCAGACAACTTTGCAATAAAATACGGGTGCGCCCTCGAGTTGCTTATTCACCCTGACACGATGACCACACACACTCATCAATATGGCGTCTCGCTAAAATTACCGGCTTTTCACTTGATAATAAATAATAATAATCTTTAGTGTAAAAGTAAAACCCGTGGCAGCCTAACGATAAATAAAAAGCAGTATTGTTAACATTACTTTGTTCCGGTTTTGAACGGTAAGGGTGCTGGTGGAATTATAGACACATGGAACTTGTCAACTTATGTCTCAAAGTAAAGCTCTGAGTGGCACTGCAACTGTTATGGACAGGCGTGTAGCTTACCATCAGGCGCACGACTTGTTCGTCCCGTCACTTGATATTATAAAAAAAATAACGATAAAAATATGACGACAGATAATCGCAGCGTCAAACGATACAGTCGTGCAAATGACAAGGCGACTGCGGTGAACCCAGAAATTGTCGTCACGATCTAGTGTTTCAACGATAAAATAAACGTCCACGACACAGTCACGACAGATAGTCGTGATATAGGAAAAGGCTAGACGCGACAGTCGTCCAACGATCAATGAAACGTTACGACATAATAAGAACCAAAGAGTCATCAGCTCATAAAACCCCTGGTGGTTAACACGGGCAGTATTTTTCCCTATACATACACATTATCTCCAAATTCATGCATTCATCTGGCTTTCTGGGTTCATGTTGTTATTTAAATATATTTTAAATTTAATACACTGCTTTTGTGAAATGTATTTCGGGTTCTGAAAAATTATCTAAAAATTGTATGGCAACAAAAGAGATGCCATCGACGTCTCTCTTACTGGACGTAGAAAGCAAAATGTACGTAGAGATGAGACCGTGACGAGAACGCGCCCTAACTCCACCTGACCATAATAAACTTTGCAAATTATCACAAATACTGCCGTCTCCCTATATTTACTTGTAAAATGATCGGCAAATACACTCCCGCCCGTTGCCATCCTGCGCCCCGTTCGACAACGAGGTACGGCAAATACGAGGGAGGGCGACTTACCTCTTATTTACTATTATATTATGAAACATGAAAGTAGGTATGCGCTGAGAGAAGTCAGAAATGTGCAGGCAACTACTTAACGGCTTTTAATAAGATTCCATCCTTGCAGATTCGTCTTTACTTGCCTCATCGAAAGAGAAGCATATATTGTTTACTTTCACATAATATGTCTGTTTATAAAGAAATATACATAACCGTCTAAGATGTTTGCCAATATTTGAGATATTTTTTTTTTTATGTAGGTTCCGGGTTCGTTCCCCGGCCGGGTTAATGTGGAATACTAACTTTTCTATATTGCCTCGGGTCTGGGTTTGTGGTACCATCGGTGTTTCCGATTTCCATAAAACAAGTGTTATTAAACTTTTTTTTTTATCAGAGCAACGTACATATGTGATGTTGTCTAATATTTATTTACGAGTATAACAAAAGAATCTTTTCGTTTAACAAAAAGATTTATTCGTTTTTCAATAGAAGTAAGTTATTTTTAAGTATGTAATTATAATGGCTACATAGATATCTTTAATATCTAATGCATAACGTAAGTTAAGTTAATTTTTTTATGTTATTAACCACAAAAATTGCGAGTTCTTAGGTTTTCGCGATTGTTACACATAGGAAATGAAACTATTTTTCCGGATTTCTTTGTAAAATTAAAAATCAGGTATTTAATTAATAACTATTGTAACTATAGTGAAAAATAGGGTGGTTTGCATTAATATTAGACATAACTGGTTGAAGACTGTACCACCTCAGCAACCGTGACCATGGGACCTGTAAAGGGCCAGAAACGTCGGTTTGTTTGAAAAAACAAATATACGCGATTTAAATCCGGAAAAATAATTTCATTTCCTACACAAAAATTGCATTAAGCTGAAGAATCCTTTACGCCGCTCAAAATGCTGTTTTTGATATTAAAGCGTTTTGGTTGGACCTGGTACTCTGGCAAATAAAACGTTACTTCTACACTGGAATTTTTCATAAATTCATTCAGCCTTTTAAGGCATACGAATAACGTCAATTTGAATGGCCCAATTGTTTATTTACTTATTTGATTATAAACGAGTAGCTCTCGCTGGTAACACTCTTTCATGGCCAGTTTTGTTTTAGATGGCATTAACAGAGACAGTAGAAACAACATCTTCTGGTAGTATGTTCAAATAATGCACCACACTGTTGCTGAAAAATTTACGTAGTTTCTTATAACATGTACATAAACTATCTCGCTTACCTGGGCCTGCGTAAATAGAACTCTCCGTTTCCGTCTTTGCGCAAGCGGGAACTGCATAGGCTTGCTATCTGCGCCCGCGCAGGCTGCCAGCCCGCCCATATTGTTCACGTGCCCCATGCCGCCCGACGATGACGTCATCAGCCTGGAAACTAAAGCAGCCGCTCAGGTACGCATACTTTTAGGGTTTAGCTTACATTACGGAGACAAATTAACATTACAATATCCGAGGCTTGGACATAAATAAAGACAAAGATCTGTAACAAACGCAAAGAAAAGCCGACTTCACCTGTAGCTCAGTTGGTAGAACGGTTGCCATAGATTAGTGCACAGTCGCAGGTTCGTGTCCTGTCAGTTTTAAGGAATTTTTCTTTGCGTTCGATAGTTGTATTAATAATTACAATAAAGAGAAAGAGTAAAACAGAGATACAGAAGAGAGTAAAAAGAATAAGAGAGTTGATGTACATTGCGGCATTTTCAGCGTGCCACTTCTCTACGAAGGTTGGAGACCATCATCGTGATTATCCTTATTTTGAGCGTGTGCTAAGATTGAGCCAATAGCCCCCTTTACACACTCACTCTATCGGAATTGCGCGCTGGAAAGCTTGATTGCTTGTTTAAAGTTTGAGAAGGTTCTTTCGCGCGCGGTTGCTGGTGTTCGTTTTTATTACAACGGAAGAACGTGCGTGTAAAAGGCAACTTTGGAACTCACGATTACGCGTGCGTCTGTTCAGCGCAATCACGCGGTCTTTCCCTCTTCCACTACCAACATCATTACACGCGCGCTCAATCGCAAACGATTGCTCTATCACGAGTAAAAGAATGTCTGTGTAAAGCCTTAAACTAGGAGCTTTGTAACTTACATGAAAATTTTAAGAACCCTCGATGCAAAACATTTCACTACAAAAGTCTATAGGCCCAAACTCACGAAAGAAATAAATGTAGGCCATCCAAATATTTCTCCTGACCCGAAACCTAAGCGTGGCAGTCCAGCATGGTTAAAGTTATCGGATGTCAGAGCAAGGCCTATGCGATCACGGTACCTACTTCAACCTATTGCTAACAGGTAGTGCCAAAACAGTTTGTTAGCAACATGAATTCGTTACCATTGGCATTATTCAAAAAGAAACTGCCATCGCTACTAATTGATAAATGTTATTAGATTATCTACTTGACAACTTATAATTATTCAATTTTATCACATTTTATATCATGTTTTTAATATTTTTAACTTACATCTGCTTTTATTGTATCATATTTAAAAGAAATAGATGATAGTCTATTCTAAGGTAACCGTGCGGTCATGGAAGCAATTGAGATAGACCATTATTCGAAAAAACCATCGATATATTGTTTATATTAGAAAATATCATATTGTCTCTTAACATCATAATTTAAACTGCAATATTATGACATTGCTAATATGAAATAAACGATTGTATGATCTGTTCACGTAGCTATTAACTACAAATAGACTTTAGCAATTTTAGCAATTCAACGGTAATTTCAGGCAGTTAGCTAAAAGGGGAACGACTACAGCATGAACGTTCAAGCAATTGACCGGGTTCAATCACCGAGTCTAGGTTCAACAATCGTATAATAACCTAAACAATACCGCAATCTGTTGCGGCATTTCTAAACCCAATTGGTTCAACTTTACTGCAATAATTATTAATACAAAGGTTGTACATAAAGAAAAATACCTTCGATCTAATAGGAAAGCCATTAAGGCGAGATATGCCAACGCGAGGGTGGACAGACGTGTCGCTTACCATGAGGCGCGTAAAAAAAGCCTAGGTTTTAGGAGGTGAGGTATGGAGGGGGGTCGCCACTCGCGTCGCGCAATCCGCGCGCTGTAAATTAATATGAACAAAATGAGAACAGATCAACAAGCGCCCGATGGCGACTGACGGGGCAGCAGGCGGCGCGGTGCGTCGTTAATCCGCTGGCCAATTTGCAAATTTGTAATTAATAGATTCAGGCGTTACTCAGGTGTTAATTAACTGCATGAAAAAAATACTCAACACAAGCGCAGCTATTTTGCATGATTTAACCTTCCCTGGATTCGCGGAGTTGCAAATTAATTTACTTCCATTTTTATTGCAAATTTTGGGATAAATGTTAATTTAATAACTATAGGGCTTCAGTTGGTAACCAGAATTTTGCAGGTTCTCTGTGGTACATAAAGAGATATATCTCCATGTAAAAATTATGTACAAAGTTAGATATTTTATTCTTATATAATTCGTTTTGGACTCTTATTTTACTCTGTTTTTAGGATTTTATACGATGGAGTTAAAGTACATCCTATCGTGTTACAAACCAGCACATTCTTTAGGTGTACCTGAAATTTTTTTGTCACACCGCTGTTTAATAGTAAATATCAAAACCATTTACTCTAGCAAAACAGTTTTTCTCGCTTCTCCTCCGGTAATAAATAATAATAAATTAAATAATTTAACATCATGGTAGTAAAAGATAGTGATATTCAATAAAATCAATATTGTATTTATTAACTGTATTTTAAGCCATTGCTTCCTACCACATATACCTCGTTGGCACGATGCGTGTTGGAGATTTCATATTCGAATAATCCGACATGCAGGATTAAGTAACAACTTTTTGTTTCAACGTTCAAGCGAGCAATGATATTATTCTAAACTTAGAATAATAACGCATTGATAGTTTCATATCAAACGAACTGTCACAAGTGAGGCAAAAATCAAATTCATGTAGGCTAGTTTTAGTAGTACGTTAATTTTCGGTTTTAGTGAATATTTATATAAAAATACAAGTTGAAACGCGTTACTTCCTTGTGGAATGTGATGTTAGTATCTATTTTATGTTTGTCTGACGTATTTTTACACTCATTTACCGCACATTTCGTCATTTTTAGCTAAAATTCTTGATCTGTTCGCGGTGCAAGTTGACCTTGAGCGCTGAAGGCCCGCCCGCTCGTGTAGGCCCTTTTGGCGCGCTTCAATTTGCCTCACTTAGCGTGTGCGGACTAGGTTTCTATGCGTTGTTATTCTAAGATTCTAAACTATTAATCGAAAAACTAAGGTAAAGGGCCGTGTACGGAAACCAAATCGTTCCATTTACACTGAAGGCAAGAGTTCTAACAACTAATTTTTATTTTTTTTATTAGGCACGCGCACAAGGTATACCCTATATCGCGACACACGCATAGACAACCACAAATTACACCCAAACTTACGAGAAAAATGAATGCAGCAGTAGTATAGCAGTAGAGCTCCTTGTGAAAGAGTTCGTCCAGGGAAGTACTGCCGCCTTACCTATTTCTGCCGCCAAGCAGTAATATGAGCATTACAGCGCTCAGGTTTAGAAGAGTATGAAATTACAGGCACATAGGACTTGTCAACTTATGTCTCAGTGTGACAGGCGCAGTGGCAGTGTCCCTCAGGTCTTTGCGATTTAAAGCTCTGAGTGACACTGCAACTATTATGGACAGGCGTTCAGTTTACCATCAGGCGCACGCCTTGTTCGTGCCGTCACTTGATATTATAAAAAAAATGTAAGGCATATAAACATTTATAGCATATTAATCAAGCCCGGAACCTCTCTGCCGTCCACTAACTGAAACGTGGTAAGTGACAAATGGTCAAATAACCGTTTTAAGTAGTAAAAAATAGAGCACAAAATTATCTTTTAAAGACACTTAAAATTGGTCAACGTGTTCGACTATCAGAACTTCCCCTAACGATGCATAGCTGAAATATCATTAAAAAATTCCATTATTCCACAACTGGATTATGGTTTTTTATGATATCTCATCTCGTTTTATGATATATATATTATTGCCTCAGAGATTCTATAGCTATAATTATATATTTCGTAACTATATGCTGTCAAAGCAGCAGTTTTCCACGGATTTTTATCGTTAAAGCGTGCATTTAATTCTTCGTGTATAAACACAAGAAATAAATGAACGCTAGTGCTCCACGTGTATTTCAAATCGAGCAACGTCATACGGTCCACATCCGCAACGTACAGCAATATTCAGCACATTACGACGATTCTACCAACTCTCTATTTACACTGCACTCCACACTCGAAGGGGCTTTCAATAAAATATTTCTCCCCATTCTGTAGCCATTGTGCCATTTCTACTCTCTGTTTTGGCTCTATTATCCAACATATCTGTGCCTTACCATCGACGCAAAAAAATCCTCTATGGTGTTCCAGATTCGAAAAATGAACGTGCTCTTTGAGACGTCAAATGGTGTGGCGGACATTTTGTTTATCGATAGTCGATCTCGCTTTTAATTGAAAAGTTTTGAATGGTTTTGTATAGGTTTAAATAGAGATTAAACGGTTTAATAACACGTTAACGCATTTACAAACTGTTAACCGCCATTACAATACCTAGCTATATTGTGCAATTGTATAGTAACGGTATTGATTTTTAGAAGGTGCCAAGGTAAAGTGGTTCAATGAGATAAATTATTAAGGACAACTATACCCACTGTACAATGTTTGCAATTTGTTATCAAAAATTAATTGTGTAGTTGCCTCGAGTTAGGTTTTCGCGTGAAAATGAAATTTTGTTTGGACCTAATTGGCGAAAACTTGTTCTTTTTTCAAACAAACCAATGTCAGTCAGTCAGCAGTGACCATGGCACCTGTAAAGGGCCCGAAACGTTTGTTTATAAAAATAAATATACGTAATTTAAATTCGAAAAAACAGTTTTATTTCCTAGAATTTAACAATTTAAAATTGAAAATATTCAGAAATCGAGATTTTTTCATTACCAGTGCCTATCCTGTACCTTGCTTTGACTCATCTTATTCCAACCAACAATATGGAAAACATCTAATTTCACAGTTAACGCGTCCTATCATCCCCGCGTCGGGGTTTGACCGTATATTTTGACAACAAATAACCGTAATCAAACTGCTGGCCGCGGGGCGGGTGACCCTCCTATTGTGGAGACCAAACGAATAATAAGACAGCTGTCCTGCATAAACTATTTGGGAAATTGACAGCATTTTTCAAGAAATATCTACGCGAGGGAAAAGCATTTAATTCCGCAGAGAGTACGTCAAGCTAACTAGAATGGTCGTTGATCTTTAAAGCGTAAAACACAGTGAAAGCGGATGCGGGTTGGGTGCGTGTGCATATAAATACACG